TACTTTGCTTCTTCCAGTTTTATTGAGATGTAATTGATATCTATCACTGTATTAGTCCAAAGTGGTACAGCATAATGATTATGAAATATATGTACATGTTGCCAAGTGATTAGCACAATAAGTTTAGTTCACATCAGGCATCTCACAGTTACAATTTTTTTCTTCTGATAAGAGCTTTTAAGATCTACTCTCTTAGCAACTTTCAAGTTTTGTTAACTGTAGTCACTGTGCTGTACTTCATATGCCCAGGACTTTCTTACCTTGTAACTGGAAGTTCGTACCTTTTGACCAGCTTCTCCCATTTCTCTTATCTCCCACCCCCGCCTCTGGCACCTACCAATCTGTTCTCAGTTTCTGTGAGCTGAATTTTTTTTTATTTTAGATTTCACATATAAGTGACCTCATGCAGTATTTTTCTCTTTTATGATTTATTTTATGTGTGTGTTTGTATGCTACATTTTCTTTACTTATTCATCTGTCCTGGACACTTAGGTTGTTTCCATTTCTTGGCTATTAAAAATAATAGTGGGATGAACATGGGGGTACAGATATCTTTTCAAGATAGTGGTTTCATTCCCTTCGGATAAATACCCCAAAGTGGAATTGCTGGGTCATATATATGGTAGCACTATTTTTAGAGAAGTCTTCATACTGTTTTCTGTAGGAGCTTTATCAGTTTACATTCCCACCGCAAGGAGTTCTCCACATTTTAGCTAGCATGTGTGACTTCTCATCGTTTTTAAATAATAGTCATTCTAAGTGAGATGATAATCATTGTGGTTTTGATCTGCATTTTCTTGATGATTAGTGATGTAGAACATCTTATTTTCATGTATCTGTTGGCCAGTTGGGTGTCTTCTTTGGAAAAATGTCTATTCAGATTCTCAGCTTTTATTTTTAAATCAGATTGTGTTCTTTGCTATTGAGTTGTATAAATTCTTTGTATATTTTGGATATAACCTGTTACCCGGTATATATGATTTGCAAGTATTTTCTCACATCCAGTAAGACACCTTTTCGTTTTGTTGATGGTTTCCATTGCTCTGCAAAAGCTTTTTAGTTTGGTGTAATTTCACTTCTTTGTTTTTGCTTTTGTTGCCTTTGCAGCAAAATATTGTGAAGACAGTATTTTCTCCTAGAGTTTTATTGCTACAAGTATGATGTCCTTTAACCAATTCACATTAATTTTTGTATCTTGTATAAGGTGGTAGTAGAGTTCCATTCTTTTGCATATGGCTGTCCAGCTTTCTCAACACCATTTATTAAAAAGACTGTAGTTCTGCATTGTGTATTCTCGGCTCCTTTGTCGTGTGAACCATATATATGTGGATTTGTTTCTAGGCTCTCCATTCTGTTGTGTTGATTTGTGTGTCTTTTTATGCCTGTGCCATACTGTTTTGATTACTATAGCTTTTAAATATAGTTTGAAATTGAGAAATGTGATACTTCTGACTTTGTTCTTTTTCAAGATTTTCTTTGATTATTTCAAGTCTTCTGTGGCTCCATACAAATTTTAGATTGTTTTTTCTATTTCTGTGAAAAATGCCTTTGGAATTTTGATAGTGATTGCATGGAATCTGTAGATTGGTTTGGGTAGTGTGAACATTTTAGCAATATTAATGTTTTCTAACCCATGAGCATGAAATATCTTTCCACTTATTAGTATTATTTTCCATTTCTTTTTTTATTGTCTTTTAGTTTTTAGTATATAGGTCTTTGATGTCCGCCCCCCTTTGATTAAATTTATTTCTAGGTATTTTTGTTGTTGCAATTATAAATGGGATTTTAAAAAGTTTTTTTTCTTAAAGTGTATAAAAATGTAATCAATTTTTATATTGATTTTTGTATTCTGTAACTTTACTGAATTCATTGATTGGTTCTAATAATTTTTTGTGTGTGTGGTGGAGTCTTTAGGGTTTTCCATATATAATATCTTATTATCTGCAAATAGAGACAGTTTTATTTCTTCCTTTCCAATTTAGTGCCTTGTTTTTTTCCTTGTCTCATTGTTCTGGCTAAGACTCCAGTATTATGATGAATAAAAGTAGTGAGAGTCAGTTTCCTTGAGTTGTTCCCCATCTTTGAGGAGAAGCTTTCAGCTTTTTAACACTGAGTGTGGTATCAGCTATGGGTTTTCATATATGGCCTTTATAATGTTGATGTGCTTTTCCTCTGTACCTAGTATCTTTTTTTTAGAGTTGTTACCATGACTGGATGATGAATTTTGCCAAATGCTTTTTTGCATCTCTTGAGATGATTATATGATTTTTATCCTTCATCTTGATAATATGATGTATCATGCTGATTGATTGTGGATGTTAAACCATCTTTGCACCCCTGGAATAAATCCCCCTTGATTGTGGTTTCTAATTTTTTAATGTATTATTGAAATTTGGCTTGCTTATATTTTATCGAAGATTTTGCAGAGATACTGGCCTGTAATTTTCTTTTCTTGTAATGTTCTCATCTGGCTTTGGTATCATGGTAATGCTGGTCTAGTAAAATGAACTTGTAAGTTGTCATTGTTTCTCCTCCTCCTCTTCCTTCTTCTACTTTCTTCCTTCCTTCTTTCTTTTTCTTTTTCTTTTTCTTTCTTTCTTTCTTTCTTTTTCTTTCTTTCTTTCTTTCTTTCTTCTTCTTCCTTCTTTCTTCTTCTTGTTATAATTTGAGAAGGATTGTTACTAAATACTTTTTACGTGTTTGGTGGAATTTACCAATGAAGCCATCTGGTCCTGGACTTTGTGTGTTGGCATGTTTTTTATTCCTGATTCAGTCTTCTTACTAGTAACTGTTTGTTTAGATTTTTTTATTTCTTCCTGATTCAGTCTTGGTAGATTGTATGTTTCTAGAAATTTACCCATTTCTTCTAGCTCCAATTTGTTGTCATTTAATTGTTCATAGTAGTGTTTTATGAATCTTGGTATTTATGGTGCCAGTTGTAATAGCTTCTCTTTCTTTTTTAATTTTACTTATGAGTCTTCTTTCTTTGTTTCTGGGTCAGTGGCATCTACTTTTTTCCAAATAGATATGAACAGTGAAATTGACCCCATCGCAGCTTTAATTTAATGGCTTCTGATTAATCGAAGCCAATTACAGCAATCCCATTACCCCTATTAAAGGTGGGTTTAGAACTAGACATGTGACCCAGTTCTGTCTAGTGAGATATGTGGGTAATATGCTGAGAGACTTCTGGGAAAGATCACCTCTCTTTAAAAAAAAAAAAAAGAACAGTAAATGAAAAGATGGTATGCTGACTCCTAGAACCACTGCACTAGGAAATTTTTAATTGACTTTATGTTGCAGTAAATTCTAATGATTTCAAAACTATTGGTAGAGAATATATGTGGAAACAACATTAAATCCAACTCTGATTTTTTTGTTACTTTGTTATTAAAAAAAACAAGTAGGGATTTATTTGTCTTAAGCATCAAGAAATTTGGAGATAGGTATTTAGGGTTGTCTCAGGTACTCAGACTCTATTTTTCTGCTTCTCCATCCTAAGCTTTCATTCTCCTGCGTGTTCCTTTATGGTTATGGGATGGCTGCTGCACCTCCAGGCAGGGGGAAGGGGAAGGGCCACTGGGTGAAAGGGCATGCCAGTTGAGTCTGCTTGCTTTTGTCAGGAAGACAAAAGCTTTTCTGGAAGCTCCACCTTGAAATCTGGGATATTGTGTTTTATTGGCAACTGCTTGCAGTATATCTGTTTAACCCATCCTATCTCCTCAAATCTAGCTTCAACTGTATTAATTTGATAACTTTTCTACTTCTTGCTCATGTTTAATAAACTGAAGTTAGTATGTTATACTCACTAGGTGTGGCATTTAGTTCTCTTTTTCCAAATTTAGGGCTTCTGAGCAAATGTATAAGTTTGTGCTAAGTTAATACAAATGAATATTTTTCATTTGAACCAGGCATTGTAATAATTTAAAAATAAGTTTTATAGTTCGAATGTAAAGTTTTTCTATCTGAGAAGAGCAGAAGACCTATTTGAACATCTGAACTGAACTCCTTCATAGGAATTATAATACAAACAGTTTTCTCCAGGGTCCCTTTTGAGAAAGGAGATTCACAGTCCATTAAAAGAAAAACTGAGCAGGGTTTACATGTAGTATGATACTGCATTCAGGGTTTATCTACACGTGCTTCGCTGTTCTTAAGTTGTAAACTGAACTCTGTTTCCTTACTTCCCCCTGCTGCCCCCACCTCTGTCCCATTCACAGACATGTTTATTCTCAGCCATTAAGAAATAATTAATATAAAAAGTTACAGGATAACATAAAGAGTGAAAGAAAATGTGTTTTCAGATGAACTGCTAGGGGTGGAGAGACCTGCTATAGACGAGGTGGAGCCACACTTTCAATGGCGTATAGGCCAGACTAGAGCGGGCCCCCCCACCCCACTGGAGTGGCCTCCTGCTGCGATGACAGCGGAGCGGGACTGGGATGCAGTGCAGCCTTCAGTGTCTGCTGGTCCATGGGGGTTAGGCCTCTATCCACAGTGCACCTCCTTTTGGGGTTCTGGATCTAGGATAGACATGGGAAATAGTTTCTGACCTTTAAGCTGAATGGTAGTTTCAGTTCATCTCAGTAATTGAAGAAGATAAGTGAAGTTTTTACATGTGTTCTACCTACAATATTTTTCCTTACTGTGGCTAAAGAGGCCACAGATCATAAGGGAGTAGAAGAAGTGTGTATGCTTCAGGATTGTTTTGAAAGAACTAAATGAATAAACACTCTCCCATTTTTTATGCCATATAACAGGATCTCAGTATTAATATATGAGAGTATATTTTATTTTTCCTGATATTACTGTGCAGGAGGAGAGGAGTGGGAAACCAGATTAGCTTATTTCTGCATCTGAACTAGAGAACAATAAAATCAAAAAGTTACATTGCCACAAATTTTTAATCAGTTTTTTAAAAAGTTATTTACAGTTATTGTGCACTGTACTGCATGTTGAGGCTACTTGGAAACAGTGACCAGATTCTTGATCATTATCAGGAAACTGCATTCAGAGAATGAGAAGAACACCCCCACTGGATGAATTGCAGCCACCACCATATCAGGATGACAGTGGTTCTCCCCACCTCTCATGTACACCCTCAGAAATTGGGGACAGTAAATGTGAATTTTCCCACTGCAGCAACAGTCCAAGATGCTCATATAGCAAGTGCCCGAGTGAAGGAAGCACAGGTCGTGGAATAGAAAGTTTTCATAACAAAGGATGCGAAGAAGATGTTCCAAGCGACAGCACTGCAGTCCTGAGCCCTGAAGTAAGTAAAAGCACACAGAACATTTAAGTGGATGTTATTTGGAGAATAATAACCCTGTGCTTCTCCTCATGGTGAGAAGGTTTTATCACTATTTTGTCCTTTGGGGCTTAATTATGCCAGTTTCTATCCTAGATGTGATCTTTATCCAGCTGGCTTACTAGGGGTGTCCCAACCAAACTGCAGCTCCCCCCTCAAAAGAAAATGGGTAGCTGAAAAAGAGAACAATACACAAAATACTGAAAAATTATCTTCCCCCAAGTTTCAACCTCAACATAGATTTAAAAAAATTTTTAGCATTTTTAAATAAAGCTATTCTAGAATTATTTACCTGTTTTTTCATGCTGAGGTTTTTATTTGTTTGTATCTTTTTAAAAATTACTTTATTTTGGATATTTTTTTATTAGTGGTAAGTTGTCCATTAATATTTTATAAGATAACATTTTTGCATTTTCCTATCATAGAATAGAGAAGAGAGAAGTCATGCTCAGCTTTACTGATAACATTTGGATTCATGGCGTAGTGCATTCAGAGTGGCTGAGTGGTTGTGTATTAAGTTATTTACTCTTTTTTGTTGTTGTTGGCACTATTACAAATGTTTCCATTTCCCTGCTCTGCCTGCCTCCACCCATCCCCGAGTTATTTTCTCTTTGGGAGCAAAAATGTGAAAATGACACCAAATAATAAGGCTGTTACATGTTTGAAGCCTTTCCATGTTCGAAGAAGGTTTTTTTTTTTTAATTATTTCTATAAAGATGAAAATTATCAGGGCTATCTAGAGGTTTTGTGAGATAGTATTTACTTTTACTCTATTTGCATTACAAGTTTTTACAACTTCTGTCCTAGACAACATTTTATGAAACTGTAGTATGTCGTTGTTCTTACTGGGTGAATTTTCATCTACTGCCAAAATTTCAAATACAAAACAAGAAGTACAAGGAGGAAGGCGAGGTCAGGTACCCACTTGGGGTAGGATGCCAGTGGTACAGGCGGCAAGACCGCACTGTGCAAATCCTGCTTCATGTAACACCGTATGTCCCACCTCGCTCTTTGGCTCCATCAGCTTCCCCCAGTTATGTGTGGAAACAAGGACAAGAGTTGAGATAGCAGCAGGGGTACCATGGGCTAGAAACATGTAACTTATTTTATGGAAGCAATACAGGGGCAAGTACTCCTGGTCACCAGTGAAACTTGGGCAGTGAGTGGGCTAAGTAGGCAAAGGTTCTATCTGCATTTCTTCAGTGGAACACATGGGTGACAGAGCTGTCAGCCTAGAGGCGACATGGTCATGGCTTGGGCTTTCCATCCCCTTTCATAGGTAATACTCACTTGCTGTATCATATTTTCTATTTATTCTTGTCTGTGTTTAACATATCCTACAAGTTATTAATTTTGTTACTGTCTATACTTAACACATTGTCAGAATTCTGCCCATCTCTGTGAAGTTACCTTTGTTATTATCTATAGTTAACACAGCCTGTGAGTTTTGCCCATATTGCAGAAGCTGTTAATTTGCTCTCTGTGTTAACACTTCTTACGAGTCTCCACCACCCCGCTTGGTTTTGTGTCTTCTACAGCAGAATTGACTGTATTCAAACAGTAGAGCAAAAGCACATTACATAATATTTAGATGATAATAGCATATGTTGGTACAAAATTCACTCTTGTGGTTTTAAGTTTATTTTACTCCCCATTATCCCTTCAATGGATATTAATCCAATACAAAATTTTTACTTTCCTCTTTCTCCTAGAGCGTCCCCTATACACTGCCGAACTGGGAAGGCAGTGAGGGTTCGGAAGACTCCCTTGGCAAGGAGTTCATAAACTCTGTTGATGGCCTCTTGCTAGCTGAAGACCATCAAAACTTTAAGAGACCTTGAAAGGAAGAATTATTTTTTAATTGTCCATTGCAGAATACAAATATTAATTTAATCTGTAAAGGTGCCCTTCTTTTAACCCTTGGTTTTGTGAGAATTGTCAGAATGCCAAGAAAAAAAGTTAGGAAGACACCAAGAGAAACGAAACTCAGAGCTATCTACATACAACTTTACAAAACTTTCATTGCCTGGAAAATCATAGCTGTCATGACACTATTTTAGAAAATATTTAATTGAAATATCAAAGCCATGTAATTACTCACCCTTAATTATCATTATGAAGTGGCATGCATTAAAACATTTTGCTCTAAACTGTACATTTTTTTTTTTTACAAAGTAAGAATGCATTTACTCTGATTGGATTCTATAGTATTAAAAAAACACTATGAGACTTTGAGACTTTGTTCACTCTGCCAGGTGTTCATCATTTGTCCTCTTCTTTCCATGTATATTGCCGAGTGAGTCATGGTAAATAGATGGGTAATATTTATAAGGTGAAAAACTTGTGTCTCTGGTTCTCTTCTGCATCCCTCCCACCTGAACAGGGGCTTGGCACATAGTAAGTGTAATAGTTAGGGTAGGTGTTAAGCTGTTATAACCAGGAGCCAAATACAGTGGGTAAAACTTACAGAAGATTTCTTGTCTTTCACTAATGAATGTCCAGGGTGAGTAGGTGACTTTGCTCTACAACATCAGTCAGGGCCCAGTGCCTTCTTTTTGTCACTCTGTCATCCCTAGGGCGTTGTTCTGGTCCACATGGTGCGTAGTCCACACTGACCTGCACATCCTATCTCAGGACCTGCTCTTCTGTGGGAAGTGTGGGAGAGAAAGAAAGTGAAGGGCAAGTAATTTCTTCTATAAGCCTGATTTGTATGTTCCATACATAGCCTCTGTGGGCCTCCTGTTGACCAAGGCTGAGTCTCATGGTCATCCAGCTAGAGGAAAGTTTCGAATTATAGTCTTCCCTACACACTGTGTCCCTGGCTAAAACTCAGGTTGTGTTTTTGAAAAGTGCAAAAAGAGAAGATTGGTAGTCAACAGTAGTGACTACTTAATAGTAAGTAGATACTAAGTAAAAGTTCAGAAAAATTTAGAAAAATAAAACATTGACCCACATTTTAAAATGAAAAACATTCGAGATTTATTAAAAGACTTGAAGGGGCAGGTGGTATATTTGAAAGGTCAGAGACCTGGGTTTGGCACTGTCCATAACTAGCTGAAACTCTATTTGCATTCCAGATAGTTACACTGGCAGGAATTTGAGACAATTCCAGGTAAAACAGGTACAATTTTTTTCATTGCATAATTAAAATGAACAGATTTCATCTTTCTTAAACTTTTGAAATGTATATTATTTTGCCATTTTCAGTAGTAATTAGTATCAGAAATAATATATAATTTTAAATTCAACTAAAAAATAGTGTATATTATAGGAAATAAGTATTTGGCTAAAAATATTTTGAGGCCTTTGTATTTATAATTTCGTATTTCACATTTCTATTGATTTTCATGCCTAAATGTGTCTATATTCTGTTATAGATGGGAGTGTTTTAGAACAAACTTTGAAAATGGGACCAGTTTTTCAATAGCATTATACTTAAAATATTTATGTTCTTTTGTTCTCCAGCCTAATGTTGAGCTGTCAGTTGCATTGTTTATAATGTTGAAAGTAAAATTTAGTAGTTTCCTACATGTTGAAGTACATATTTTCAATTCTCATTATAAAAACATATCCCAACTTCCTCAAAATTGTGATGGTGAATTTCAAATTCTGTCTCTTTATGATAAGTTTTTGAGTTTAACTTACCACTTATAACGACAGTGGCCCTGTAGAGTAGCTTCTGCTTGCAGTAGACTGTTAACTATTATTACTTTCTTTGTGGTACCAAATCAAAACAGTTCTCACATCCTCCTCCTATCAGGTATTTATTTACATGCTAGATTAAATAATAGAGTTAAAACTGAACACATTTAAATTTGCTTTTCTTAGGATATGTCAGCTCAAGGATCATCTTCACAGCTTCCCAAACCTTTTGATCCTGAGCCAGAAGCTAAATATGGCACACTGGATGTGACTTTTGACTATGACTCACAAGAACAGAAGCTTCTGGTAACAGTGACAGCTGTCACAGATATCCCAACATATAACAGGACAGGTGGCAACTCATGGCAAGTACACCTTGTTCTTCTACCTATAAAGAAACAGAGAGCAAAAACCAGCATCCAGAGAGGACCATGCCCTGTCTTCACAGAAACATTCAAATTTAACCATGTTGAATCTGAGATGATTGGAAATTATGCAGTTCGATTTAGACTGTATGGTGTACATCGCATGAAAAAAGAAAAGATTGTGGGGGAAAAGATTTTTTATTTAACAAAATTGAATCTTCAAGGGAAAATGTCATTACCTGTGATATTGGAACCTTCTTACAATCATTCTGTGAGTATCTGATCAAATAGCCCACATACAATTAAGTTCGTGGTATGCACAATTTTAATATGATATACCCAACATCCTTTTCCTTCTATTTTTTGTATAGTAATATTACCTTTACAAAATTCCTAAGCCCTGAATAGGTAGGTATAAATTTTTCCCATCTATAGAGGTTGCCCTTGAAGATTATATATGATTTATTTTATGTATTTTATCCTTCACAGAGTCTATCCCAGTATCTTAAACACTTGTTCCTTTGTTAAACATTTATTAGATGGTTATTGTGACATCATCTGAATGCCGTGTAGAATATATTGTTTTCTTTCCAGGGTAGAAGTAGGTGCTACGTTAAGAACTGTCTAGCTCTATGTCTGCTTTGATGCTGTTTGCTTGTAGAGAAGATGTACTGCTGCCTAGGTCATGACTGTCTTTCCGGAACTGCTGTGAAATAATTTTTAAAGGTTCAAAAACAATGGCCTTGTTATATTTTCCACCCTTTTAAACAAAGATTTGCTAGTATTTCTGGAAGAATACTTAAATTTAGTGCTATGAGTTGTTCTTCCTTTCCTCTTTTTCTTCTAGGTTCTGATCATATACGTGTGTGTGTGTGTGTGTGTGTGTGTGTGTGTCTCCCTGTATTTTTAACTAAGTTCCCACAAGGCATTACAGATCATCAGAAAGCCGCACTGTTTATTTCAACCAGGGAGATGCATTATGCCACATAGTTACTTAGATTATGAAAATATCTGTGATACGCTATAAATGTAAATTATGAATTAAATTTACTCATCTCTGTTATACTGACTAAAAAACATTTTTATATTATAAATATACAGATTTCAGAATAGATTTATATTGTAAAACAATGTTATCATATTTTAGGGTTGTTTTTAAGCTTTTAAATGTATAAGCATAAGTCTGAGATTAGAGTCCCATTGAATTTATACCATGCAGCATTTGATCTTATAGGACTGTCATTCACAATGGAACCCCATACCGTTTTAGCTACTGATCACTCGGATTAAATAATGAGAAAGTTTAAAAGGCATACTAAGAATGGCACAATATTTAATTGACCTTCACTTTTTTCTCTTCCTCTGATATATTGTTTATTTCATTTTTTAAAGGCATTTCCTAAAATTGTCCATTCTGAAATTTTAAATTGTAACAAGTTACCAATTTGCCTACCCAAGGCTAAATAGTATCCTATAAACCCATAGGAATATACTATATTTACTGTCACCTTTTGGTTTTTAAATTTTTAAGTGTTGAAGTGTTTGTGGTTGATAGTTTGTCTCTTTAGTTACAGAGGTTCATAAGTAGGAAGAATTTTGCCCAAGAGTTGTTACATCAAGAGCCATGATTTAGATAAGAGCAGATGATTTGGACGAGATTTTGGACTTTGAGATGATGAGATTTAGATTCATGTATTGGGTCTTTTTACTTTGAACTGATAATGTAGTAGGATGAGACTTTTAAGAACCTTAAACTAGGGTGAATACATTTTACATGTCAGATGTATGTGACCCATGGGGGCCAGGGGGCAGACTATAGCAGGCAGAATTCTAAAATGGTCCTCATGACCTTCATTCCCTAGTATTACTCCTGTGATTATGTTATATTAAATGGCAAAAGGATTTTGAAGAAGTAATTAAGGTTATCAGTCAGTTGACATTAAGATAATGTATTATCTGGGTGGGCCTAACTCCATTATGTGAACCCTTTAAAAGCAAAGAGTTCCTCTAATTGGTAGTAGAAAAAATTAACTTAAAGCATGAGTGTGATTCAACACGCAGTTCTTTGTTGCTGAGGTGGACTGGGTCATCGTAGAAGGACCTAAGAGTGGCCTTGAGGAGCTGAAGGGGAGGCCTCTAAGAGCTCTGGCCAACTGCCTGCAAGAATGTAGGGACCTCAGTCCTACAACTGCAAGGAACTGAATCTGGCCAGCACCTGAGTGAACTTGGAGGACGACTCTTCCCGAAGAATAAGAGCCCAGCTGAGCCAACACCTTGGTCACAGCCTTGTAAGATCCATAACAGAGAACCCAGTTGAACCCACCCAGACTTTTGACTTGCAGAAACAGTGAAATAATAAATGGGTATTTTTAAACCTGTGAAGATTGAAGTAACTTACTACACATCAGTAGAAAACTAACACAGACTTCCAGTCAAGATGGAAACATAGGTAGCCACACTTTGCCTCCTTGCACAGCCAGAGAAAGAATTACAACCAGATTTCAAAACTAATACCCAGAGCCGTCAGAAGATCAACCTATATTGGAAGTCTGGCAACCAACAATTTAAAAAAAGACACATTCATCCAGATGGGTAGGATGTGCAGAGTTACAGAGATGGGCAGAGAAGGGGAGTGGGAGTGGAATGGTGGCAGCAGTGGTGGTGGAAAGGACAGGAGGGATACCTTGGGAATGAGCTATCCCAGCCTCAGGCCACGCAGCTCAGGGTTCCAGCACTAAGAAGATAGATCCCCTTTACTTCTCGCTATAAAAACCAGCAGGGATTGGGGCAGCTGAAGAAACTGCCAGGTTTTCACCACTTAAAGAGCTAGCATAGACTTAGAACATACGCACACCTATCCACTCCAGAATTCACCACCACGGCAGCAGCTGGAAGGGCACCAGTCACACATGGGAAGGGGGTGAAGTGACTGAAAACAGGGCAAGTGCCAGGTGAACTGCAAGAAGCCAGGCAGCGGTATTGTCCCCTCTCCAAACCCTCTCCACACAGCCACAAAGTGATGAAGTGGGTTACCCCACCCTGGCAATTATCTAAGGCTCTGCCCCACACAATTTAAAGATGCCTTTTCTACAATAGGCCACACTATTAAGACAGGGAGTAAAAGCAGCTCTACCTAATACACAGAAACAAACACAGGGAGGCTACTAAATTGAGGAGACAAAGAAAAATGAAAGAACAGAACAAAACCCCAGAAAAAAGGAAACAGATAGCCAACCTATCAGATGCAGAGTTCATTCGACACACTAGTTATCAGGATGCTCAGAGAACTCCTTGAATATGGCAAAAAATAAAGGACAAAATGAAGAGTACACTAAGGGAAAGAAAGAATAATCCACAGGAAACCAACAGAGAAGGGAAGGAAGCCAGGATTCAAATCAATGATTTGAAACATAAGGAAGAGAGAAACATTCAACCAGAACAAAAAGAAGAAACAAGAATTTTTAAAAAATGAGGACAGGCTTAGGAACCTCTGGGACATCCAAATCATAAGGATGCCAAAAAAAGAAGAGGAGGAGCAAGAAAGTCAAAACTTATTTGAAAAAATAATGAAAGAAAACTTCCCTAATTTGAAGGAAATAGACACACAAATCCTGGAAGCACAGAGTCCCAAACAAGTTGGACCCAAAGAAGAGCACATCAAGACACATCATAATTAAAATGCCAAAGGTTAAAAATAAAGAGAAATCTTAAAAGCAGCAAGAGAAAAGCAGAGCGTTAAACTACAAAGGAGTTCGCATAAGACTATCAGCTGATTTCTCAAAAGGAACTTTGCAGGCAAGAAAGGACTGGCAAGAAGTATTCAAAGTGATGGAAGTGAAGAACAAACTGACAGTGACCAGAGGGGAGATGGGAGGGGGAAAGAAGGGAAAGGGACAAGTCAAGGAACATGTACAAAGGACCCATGGACAAAGACAATGATGGGGTGGGGAGACTGAAAGTGGAAGGTCCCTACCTTGGGTAGGGCAGGAGAGAGTAATGGGGGGAAAAGGGGGACAACTATAATTGAACAACAATAAAAAAAAGAAAAGAAAAGATCTACAACCTAGATTACTTTATCCAGCAAAGTTATCATTTAGAATCAAAGAACAGATCAAGTGCTTCCCAAACAAGATAAAGGTAAAGGAATTCATCATCACCAAGCCATTATTATATGAACTATTACAGGGAATAATTTAAGGAAAAGAAGATCAAAACCATGAACATTAAAAAGGCAACAAATTCAAAACTATCATCAACTGATTCTAAAACAAAGAAACAAACAAAGCAAACAACCAGAGCATGAATAGAATCACAGATATGGAGATCATTTGGAGGTTTTATCAGCTGGGAGGGGGAAGGAGGAGAAGGGGGAAATGGTACAGGGATTAAGAAGCATAATTGTTAGTAACAAAATAGGTGGGGAAGTTAGAACAGCATAGGAAATGGAAGAGCCAAAGAATTTAAATGCACAATCCAGGGACGTGAACTAAGGGGCGGATTGTTGGAAGGAACAGGAGCAACTGGCAGAGGGAGGGGGGCAAAAGGGGAAAAACTGGGACAATTGTAATAGCACAATCAATACAGTATACTTAAAAAATTAAAATAAAAAAGAAAGGTTTTGAACTACAAAAAGCAAAAATAAAAAAACAAAAGAAAATGAATAGAGTCCACAGGGTGTAAAATATATTACTATCTAGCTCTACAGAAAAAGTTTGCTGACCTCTGCTCTAGACAACTGGGAACCGAAACTGAATATTAGATGTGCAGATCACTTCTTTGTTGAGGTGAGTACCCACAAAACATTCTGTGAGTCTGCTTTTCATCTTGGCAGGATATTCTTTACCAATTTATGAAGTCTCCAGCAAATACCTTTATATAGCTATACGCATATAAATCAAGTCTGTAGGTATTCCCTATTTATTCTTTTTCTTCATGGCTGCTCCCTTAGTGTTAACTTAGAGAAATCTCACTTATTTTAAAAAATAATCTGTCAGGAAGAAATATTTATGTAAAATTCAATTTTATTTCATTGCCTTCTATTAAGCTTACATAAAGTAAAATGGATTATAAAATAAAAAGCTACAGTTTGATCCCACTTTTTATAAAGTTATTTCTGTTCCTACTACTATTTGTACGTATTTATAGAATGATGCCTGCAAGATGTTCACTTAATAACAATTTATGGGTAGTAAAATTTAAGGTGATTTTTATATTTCCATCTTTATTTATTTCTGTATTATTTGGGTAATTTATGAAAATCATTCATCAATT